GATGAGTACACAGGTTTATTTTATTTTACTTTAATTTTTCTATTACAAGACTCTAGTACCTGTTTTGAAGAGTTTTAGATATAATTTGATGCCATGTCATACAGGAAAGGCAGCGGCAAATCCCTCTCATCGATTGCGTTAGTTCTTGGTTTTTCACATGTATCTGAATCACCTGCAGAGCATAATGTATTTGTAAATTTTGGCTGCATTCCCAGGGATTCTTATTTGATTGTTCTGGGAATGGTTCTCAGGATTCTGCATTTTGAAAAGTGTGATAAACCAAACCGTTGATTCTGTTGTAGGTTATGCAAGGATCAGATAAAGAGAAATATTGCCTTAACACAAGTGCCTCCATTTGTGGTATGATCAGAAAAAACAAGAAATCACAGCAGGGTAACCTTTGGAGAATAAATGAACATTATTAATGAGAAGGATGACAAAAGAATCTGTTTATTTTATTGAAGTTAAGGGTGACATTTTCTTAATCTTTGATCTTAGAATCTGTAAAGGAGGTGGTGTAGGAACCAAAATATCTGGCTTTAGAAGTGGGTCCCTCCATTTATAAAGTATCTGGAATGTATGTTTAGTTTTGAATAGCCCTGGCTTCAACAGATGTAATATTTAATAACACTAGTCACAAGTGATCCCAAAGGTTATTATTGATTTTTGTATTTGCTGATGCAAAACTCTCACCTGTGTACCTTATGAGGAAGATATGTGGAGATGTCATTTAGCTAAAGATTGAGTTTAGTGAACCATGCAGCATATCTATTTCAATACAGGTTATTTTGTGTGTAATGACCTTCATGAACAGATTAAAAAAAAACTTACTTTTTTGTGAAAAATAATCACCAAAATAAGAGAGAAAAACGTTGGAGATGTTGAAAAGTCACTAACATCGTAGGAATATAAAAAAGGAAAGTAAACTTCCAGGGGAAATGGGATGCAGGAGAAATGTGAGGGGGACAAACACTTAAATACTTATGAAGTTGAGATTTTTGAAGTCTAGAGCAGTTTTTATGTCTCAACAATTTTTTTTTCAGCTTTGATACCTGAAAATGGACAGTTTGGGGAGAGATTTTCTTTCCACAGGGCTAGGCTAGGTAAGAAGTTTTGGAAGGCCTAAGATGTTATCATAAAAGTTACTTGTCAATCTGCCTTTCTCTGTCTCATGCCCAAGAAGATTAGTATTAGGAATATCTGGGGATGTAACACTATTTGAAATTGAATGAAATTATGCTGGATTATTTCCCCAGATGTGTTCTCAAGGTACATGCTTCTTCTAAAGAAGTGGTTCTCAAAGTGTGGTCCCTGTACCAGCTGCATCAGCATCACCTGGGAGTGTGTTAGAAGTGAAAATTATCTGGCCTTACCCCCATGCTACCTTATCAGAAATTCAGTGGAGGGGGGGGACCAATCTAAAATTGAATTTAATAAATACTCTATGTGTTACTGATGCATGCTGCATGTTCTCTTCAGACATCTTTAATAAATGTAGCTAAGAATTCAGAAGTGATGCTTGTCACTTCTTCACCAAATAACAGCTGAAAGAGCTCCACTGCAAGGTAACAGACGAATGTGAGTTCTTAAGACTCTAGGCAGCACTCAGGGCAAAGCGAGCCTTATGAGAGATACTAGAGCAGCAGCATCGTGATTGTCATCATAGTGGTGTCATCATTGTAGTCGCCAGCATCATCATCATCATTATCATCATCATCATCAACTTATTGAGTGAGAACACAAAATCTCCAGACACTGGGCTAGGGGCTTACATAGATCATCTAATTTAATCCTTACAACTTATTAATGAGGGCTTAAAGTTTTAATTTTATCTCTAATTTTCAAATAATAAAACTGAGTCTTAGAGAAATTAAGTCATTTCCCCCAAAAGTTACTCAAGTAGCAAGAAGGAAAGCTGAGATTTGAAGCAGGCAGTGTGACAATAAAGCCCACTTTCTTAACCACTATTCTTTATGCTATTTCATAGCATCTTTGAGCTAATGGTGGCCTTGCTATTGGGCAAAGAAAAATAATAGAGTATTTATTTAATGACTAGTTAAGTGGGATTTGCAGAAACCATGGAGAGTGAGCAAGACAGAACTTGAAAAATTCAAAAGACCCTTATGTTCTGAAGGAAAGTACTATGGGATTGGAGGAAAGAAGGATGCCAGCCATACCTAGAAGCGGAATCTTTGATGTGGTAAAAATATGTAGAGTTGAGGCCTGGAGTAGGAAGCTGTGTGAACAAACAGCATGAAAGGATGGAACCACTGACAAATCATAGAGTTGAACGTCCTAAGGGGAAGTGAATCAGCCATCTGGTGCTAGGTATCAAATGCCAACACATCCATATAATTGTCCAAAAATTCCCCCCTTCAAAACTCAGGCTCAAGGAGGAGACAATCCTTTCTTCATCATAAGGCTTCAACAAAGCCTCACAAGTACAGGCTTTGTTGCTCATATTTTCTTTCAGAGTAATATGGTTAAAAGCAAAATACAATAATAGCTTGCATCAGACAGATATGGGTTTGAAACCCTGTCCTAAGCCAAGAGGCAGCCTTAGGCAGGCTTCTTATTGTTTCTGAACTTCAAGCTTTTTCATATTTATAATGAAGTTATTAACACCTATTTAATAATCATATCATTAGAATCAAAAGAGATAATGAATAAGCAGTACCTGACACTTAGTAGGTTCTTCTCCATCCCTTAATATTAAGTCAAATTTAAGTTAATTTCACTGTGCTGACAAGGTATATACAGTATGATCTAACCTAGTTGTAGCTCTCATTCTCTTAAGATTGTTGTGTTTACAGCTAAAAAGTACATAGATAAGTAAGAAAAAAGGAGGAAAAGCTTCAGGCATTTGGCACTAAGAGCTCAGATGAATATAAATCTGATATTAAATCTTAAAGTCATAACAAAAAAATTTCCATCCCAGTAGAAAGTGCTGCAAATTTGATTCCTGGTCTGCTTGGCTCCAAGCTACTCCCTGAACTCTCTGTGTGACCTTTAGCAAGTAACCAAAATGTAATTAACTTCTGTTTCCTCATCTAGAAACCAAGGAATGTAATACTCAGATTACCCAATTTTATCCCATACAGGAAAATACACATTTTCTAGTTGTGGTCTTTAGTGACTTTCCCATGACATTAAAGGCTGTGAAGGTATTAAAATTGTGTAGGAATATCATAATATAATGTGGAGCTGGTCATTAGATAAAATCTGTTCTAAGGGACCGCAAGTAAACTAGTTATCTCCTCTCCCTCTGCCTTTAAATGAGGTAGAACTTCTTGTGTCTTGAGGGATATGTGTGTGTGTGTGTGTGTGTGTGTGAGAGAGAGAGAGAGAGAGAGAGAGTGCTTGTGTTTTGAGGGAGCTGATAACCTACTTACACATCTACATATCTGTAGTTATGTTTATACACTTATGTGGGCTTCCTGAGATCCAAACCCTGGTGCCTCTTATCATGGACTTCAAACACTCTCCACTAAACTACAAGGAAAGCATTCTACACTTTGACTGTGATAGGAATTTTGCAAATCATGAGACATGCCTTTTACAAGCAATAAAATGAAGCTGTCAGCCATTGCAAATGGACCAAGATAGAGGTCACATGACTAAACCACCCCTGCACCAGGCAGTCTCTGATGTATTTTACTCCAGTTTCAATCTATTAATCAGAAGACCTGGGACAGCAATAATTTAAATGCTGCAATAATCAATTCCATAACACATTAATAGAAGCTACAGTCAAACTTTGCCATACAACTGACTGCACTGGAATCTTGACAGGAGCCCTGGGGCCGTGCCTAATTTGCATTCAATTTACATAAAATTGTAAATCAAGAATCCATGAACACAGCCCTAATATTTGTTAGTGCTTAGATCCCCCGTGATAGATGGATTGAAACCGCTGGTAGTTTGACTTCCCTTGCAATAAAATTGTGCAGCTGACCAGTTTTATTCTCATTCTGCAATTATGGGGAAAGGGACTCAAGAGAGCTACAGTTTGGGGTCTTGTGTATGCCATTCAGGGTTTTCATCCTATAAAACCATGACTCAGATGCGCCCTTGGAAACCCCCATCTAGAAGCAGATTATCCCCGATGACTCTGCAGATCCTCATCAGTAGAGTTGCTCACAAATAACCTGCCATTAAATGAAGATACAAACTACAAAGACAGCTTGCCAGCTGAGTGAATGGCAATGCTTCTGGAAATTTTTATTTTTCCAAATAACATTTACTATCACAGAAACAGATAATTAGTGACATTCTTTAGACTGAGGACAGAGAAAAAATCAAAACTTCAGCAAAGCATACAGTACCTAACAGCGTGATAAAGTGGATTTCATGTGGTTCTAAGCATTCTGTGTGTTCTTGTGTCCCTGTGGACAAAGCTGTAGCCTCTGCTGTGTGTTTTCACACTTAAGGCTAAGAGAAAACATTCTCCCCAAGGACACTGGCTCACAGTGGCAAGACTCCTCCTTTTTTTTTTTCCATCTTCATTGCAAAAAGGGTAGCAATTTTATTTTTAATATATGTAGTTATACTTCCATTTAAAAAATACTCTGTAGCCGATAGCACATGTCAGCAATTATCTCTGCATGGTTTGCCATTGGCAAATTTAATATTTTCTTCTTTTTTTTCCTAAATTTCTTTGTTTTGTTTTGTTTTTTTATTGAAGTATAGTCAGTTTATAATGTTGTGTCAATTTCTGGTGTACAGCATAATAGTTCAGTCATACATATACATACATGTATTTGTTTTCATATTTTTTTCATTATAGGCAACTACTACAAGATAAGACTTCTCTTTCTATATCCTCCTTAGTTCTCTCATTTTAAGTCTATCTTTTAAGAGAGAAAATAGATACTTAAATGCCCTAATGTATTTGGAAGTGTTCTTGGAAGTGCTCTTTTTTCCAGAAAGGATTATTTGAGTATTTCGTACATCAAGATTATTTTCGGCCTCCCACCTTTCCTTTCCCACCATTTTCTTACCTTGCACGATCAAGTAAACTTGGGAGGTCTTGGGCTCATGCTGTGTCTGCACCGAGCAAGTGTAGGAACCCTCATCATAGACATCCACCTTCTGGATTCGGAGGCTGTATTCCAGAGAATGGCGTTTCTCCAGCTCGACCCGGGGGTCCAGAGACCACTTGTCATGCCCAGCAAAAATGATGCCAGAACGGTTCAACCAGGCCACCTTCGAGTTCTTATCTTCTACAACACACCTGGCAAAGTAGAGTAATGATATTAGAGCCTTGGCCATACCTGTATCTGCATTCATTCTTCACATGATTGGACTCAACAAGACCAATCAAGAGAAATAATTATGTGCAGAAAGAATAATGGTCATGCCACTTCTTAGTCCTAACTATTGTCACTATTTCTCCTTTAAGATCTAATTACCATCCAATGGATGGGTGTCATTATATTATACCCAACTCGGCAATAAACAATTGGTATAAGAAATGCAGGCAAAGTTAAATGGGTATTGACTTCCCCCTGGATTATCTTCTTGTCTAGGAAAAGGTCATTCACACGAAACTCCATCTGTTTAAGTAACTTTGAGAATTAGACGATTGATTATGTGGCATATTTACTCAGTTTTGAACTGCACATATTCTTTCATTAGTATTTCCTAAAGTCTTGTGTGATAGCAGATCCAGGCTATGTCACACCACTGTAGCAATTAGACTGAATTTCAGAGTTTGCTTCTGATCCTTTCAAGCTTGGAATGCCCACTCTCAGGAGTGAGAAGTCTGTGAGCAGGTCCAAGGCTAAGTAGACAGGTGTTGTATCAAGAAAATCAAAGCTAGTATCTTGTTGCCTGAGTCTGACTCCACCTGCTGAGGGCAGCAGGTTGCATGCTGGCAAGATAGATTGCTACCAGCATTTCTGGGACATCAGAATGAATTCAATCTTTTATGGTAGATGAAAAAAACTAATTTTGTAGTTCCTATTCTAAGAAGGATGAAGGAAAAAAATGTCTATTTGAATAGCTACTTATTTTAGAAATCTAAAAGGGTCTCTTTCTGAAACTTGAAAGAGGCAAAGAACACGGATTAGTGAAGAAGGGATAAATACTTTATGGGGGAGTGTGGTTTTTCTCCTTCAAGTCCAGCAAGAATCTGGAAATGGAAAAACCAAGCAAAAAATCTCTCTGTATCCCTTTGGCAAGATTTATGTCTGCCCCACAGGGAGACTGTCCCAGACCCTGTTCACAGCTGCAGAGCCAGCTGTCAGCTCTCTGGGGCATGAGGGATGGACAGAAGGAGCCAGGAGCATGACAGCAGAACAATTAAAACACCGTGTTTCCCCATATTTTCCAGACTGAGTCCAATCCAGGTTTTCTCAGGTCAAAGCAGCCATGCATGGACAGGAGGTCAATGCATAATCCACAGGCTGACCACAGTAAAGATACAGCAGCCAACTCGTCTTTTCAGGACAAAAGCTGAATCTTTTGAAAAATAACTCACCCATAATACAAAAGGCCTCTTTATCCTATTATTTTCAAGTGAATTGTATATTTTAGGAAACATGAGATTTTATTTAATTAGTTGGGTGCCATGGTGTGTAAGTCTTTCTTTTCCTTTCTTTTCTTTTCTTCTCTGCCTAGTTATTTTCATAAACATAGGTAGATTAAAGTACCATTTAGTATCTCCACTACCCAATACGTGTTTCCCTGCCATGAAGGTATTAATTGGGATTAATTATATGTTTGATAATTTAGAACTCCTCTCTAAGGGAAGGCAAAGCTAACTTTGTGGACGCCTGATGCTTCTTTCCAGACTCAACTTTCCCTGTTCTATTCTTTGGTGGCATCATGTCTCTGTCCTTGGTGGTATTTGCAGCACTTCTCAACTTAGAATCATTCATGAATCAATTAATAGATTGTTTGCTATCCTACTCTATATCATAAATAAAGTTGCTGATGTAGGTCTACTGTGTTTATCTTTTCTACTGAAAAGAATGGAAATTTATCTCTGTAAACGCATTTTGAATCTATCACATTTATCCTTGTGCTTTTTTATTTTTTCTCCCCTCATCTGCACAGCACAACACAGCAGCAACTAGGTATATTACATCGCAGGGGTGTACTCTGAATGCTGTTTAGCCCAGAATAAGGTTCCAATATCTTCATCTTGGAAAAAATATAATATAATATATTTTACATAAATATGGCCTATAAATAAAATAACAATGAATTTTGTGTTGTTCGTTAAAGTCCCTCCAAAAACTAATCTGGTATAAAATAGACACCTGGTAAATGCCTGTTGCATGAACAGTGTCATATATGCAGAAAGAGGACATATGGTTACCATATTCCACTCCCCAATCCCAAGCCCTTACAGCACTGACTAATGAACTGGGTACATTTCCTAATCAGTAAAAGGTATAGTTTCTAAGTAGGGTCTTTAGGGTCCTTTGGATACTTTGGCAATTTTTGTCTGTGGGAATGTTAAAATTACCACATAGATCATTATTTCAAATTATTATCTGAGAGAGTTCAGATCTATCTTACCTAAAGAAGAAACTGACTACTCGTTATGTGGAAATTTTACTATGACAGTCTACATAACATCTTATTTTTGCATTGTGTTTCATTTGTATTTACTTTTAAAAATTTATCTTTTACTCCCAAATAAATAAAAGGTATATTAGAATACACACATATACACGTACACTGACACTTTTTACTAATCCAGTATGATTAGCCAGCTCCAAGCAGCAGAGCACAATGAAGTATTTTTAAAAAGGAAACCACTCCTCCAGATATTTAAGGGTTCTTTTTTTAATAGTTCTGAGTAAATGTATTGATTCTATAAACTAGAAAATAATCTTTCTACAACATAGCTAAAACTTTCATACTGAAAAATGAGCAAAAAAATTTTTCAGAAATAACTTAATGTTAAAAATGCTTAAATCTTGATTTAAGGTGGCAACTATTTTAAACCATAAGAAGTGCACATAAGAAAAAGATGGCCAGAGTCAAAGTAATAGTCTCAGTTTGTAGAACTTTTTGTTTGTTATATGAAAATAACCAGTCATACAGGAGGCCTAGCTATTGGGAAATGAGGCAATGCTGATTAAACGCAGACCCAGGGTTCCAGCAGGCACTGACTGGCCAGTGAGTATTTTGAGCTTGCATCTGGAAGGTAAGTGGCTTAACTGTGCATCAGTCAGGCCTGTGGAGTTAATGAGAACTCTCATGCCACATCACCATAATATAGTAATGAATTATCCCCCAGTCAGAATGCTGCTTCAATACCAGATGATCCAGTTCACAACTAAATACCTAAGGACTTTATCTTTAAAATCAGCCTTGGCCAAAGCAGGAAAAGTGTAAAGAGATTAATTTATAAAATCTGTAAGTGTTTTGTGGTGTTTGGATTTAATAGAATGTTTCCTCCAGGAACTCAAAATGTGCAATCCATTCCAGGATTTCAAGGGGACTGCGTGGTAGAGAGTAGGTGTTGGTGCCCAGAGGAGAGGGCAGAGAATGTTCCTCCACCCTAGGTGGGATTTCTGCCAGGCAGCTGAGGATATTGGGCTATGATACAAAGTGTGATCTCTCCAGGAAATCCTCTCTCATCAGTATCCCACCCTGTTACTTGGCTCCTTCTTATGCATTATACTCCATGTTGCATTAGACTTATTTGTACTCATCTCTCCTCATAAGTTTATTAATAAGAGTGACCCTCTGAGAATTCACCTATGGCCTTAATGGGGCCAGCATCATTAATCCACCATGCACACCGTAGGCACTTGCTAAAATGTGGAATAAATAAACTGAATTTAACAAACTGCTATTAGATCAATTATCAAATATTTGTTAATTATCTAATAGGTACAGGATAGATGAATAATTATTTTAACTTTTCTTAAGAAACAGTTAAAATTATCAGAAAAATAGGGACAATTTACAGAGAATTATTGAGTGTGGCATTAACATGAAAGCAAAGGAAAGAAAAAAGTGTGCTCAATGTTTCCACTACGAATAAAGATCATCCTTGGGAATTAAATAATCCATATCACATGAAAAACAGTGAAAAGAAGCATAAAGCACTAGACAAACATTTAGTGAGCTGTCCACTTTAACCATGGACCCACAAATATCAGGTGGGTTACTTAACTATAAACCTATGATTTTTTTTAAAGATCAGCTTTAAAAAAAATAACAGGAAAGGCAGGCAAACAAATTTCTATCTTCCCTGTTCAGTATGTCAGAATCCATAAAACTGTCACAAAAAATCAATGCACCCATAAAAATCTCAAGCATTGGATCTCTGCAAATACTTATACCAAGTACATTATGCACACTCATACAAACAGGTACATTGACAGTTCCACTCACACTGCATTAAGTCTGGGGATTATGCTTCCAAAACGATGAATGTAATTGGAGGCAGAAAAGAAATGCTAAATTCGGTTTGTACCAATAGATTGCTTAATGGCATATTTACTGACAGTATAGACATGATGTAAGTGATATACATCTACCAGCTATTAAGCCTGTTCAATTGCTACTAGATACAACTCATTTTTAACAAGCATTACTGGCTGCTAGCAGTGTGCCAAGTCAATATTAGAATTTATTCAAACTTTTTTCTACTTCTCAAGAGCATAATGTGGGATTTATTCATTAATAACAAATAAATACAGTTTACTTAATCACTCACCAGTTATCCTCACATTTTTAAATTATAAAGCCTGGGGAAAGAGAAACTTTGTAAGAGAGATTTGTTTTTTAAATTAAAAAAGAACAGTTAGCCATTTGCAGCAACGTGGATGGATCTAGAGATTACCATGCTAAGAGAAGTAAGTCAGACAGAGAAAGATAAATATCACATGTTATCACTTATATGTGGAATCTAAAAAATGAGACAAATGAACTTATTTGTAAAACAGAAACAGATTCACAGACATAGAAACAAACTTATGGTTGCCAAAGGGGAAAGGGGGCAGTGGGGAAGAGGGATAAATTAGTAGTTTGGAATTAGCAGATACACACTACTAAATACAAAATAAATAAACAACAAGGTCCTACTATATAGCACAGGGAACTATATTCAATATCTTATAATAACCTATAATGGAAAAGAATATGAAAAAGAATATGTTTACATATGTATGACTCAATCACTATGCTGTACACCAGAAACTAATACAACACTGTAAATCAACTACACTTCAATTAAAAAAATTTTTTAGAAAGGGAAAGACTAGT